AGACAGCCTGTCCACACTGTGTGTAGAACACACAGACAGACCAGCTGGACTCAGTTGACCCCTCCTGTCTTGCTCTCTCTCAGTGGGCAGGCCAATCCCAGTGGAGCAGAAGCTCAACCCCAGCCGTGAGGAGATCGACGCTCTGCACGGGCTCTACCTGGACAGTCTCAGCCAGCTGTTTGAGGAGAACAAGGCTCAGTATGGCATCGCTGCTCAGCGGCACCTCAACTTTATCTAGGACCTGTCTCAGCCCCCCCATCCTTCTGTATAGCACCTTTAACCATCCCCCCATCCCTTTGTATAGGTTCTTTCACTATCTGTATATATAAGACCTTTCTCCACCCCTCCATCCCTCTATATAGGCCCTAATTCCACACCTCAACCCCTCTGTATAGCACCCTTCACCACCCCTCCATCCTTCTATATAGCCCCTTTCACCAGCCCTCTATAACATCTTTCTCAACCCCTCTATATACAAGTAGCTCCTTCTGTATAGGACCTGTCTCCACCCCTCCGTCTCTCTCTATAGGACCTGTCTCCACCCCTCTATATAGCTCCTTTCTCCACCCCTCTATATAGCTCCTTTCTCCACCCCTCCACTTCCTCTTTATATTCCATCCCACTGCAGAGGATCTTTCACCAGCCTTTCCAGCAGAATGGCACTGATGGCACAGCAGACTCCCCCAACAGCCACAGGGGGGCAGTGTTGCTCGAGCCACGCCAAGGCTACGGCTACCCAGGACAACTTGAGCCCAGCCTTCCCGGATGTCATGTGCTCTGGGTCCGAGACTCCCTGCTGTTTTGAAAGATGTTATTGTTCAGGGTTTCCCTTGTGCCTCCTTTTCAAATGACATGTTTGCTGCATCAAATACATACAGAGTATATTTTGTTACCAAATTTTGTGTTGACACTACAGCCATGCTGAATGAGCTCATTCATACTCCTGAGTGTGCGCCCACACGCCACACGCGCAGGGCACAGGTGCTAGCATCTCCGTCCACCAGGGGGCGCTATGGGGCATGCGAGTTGTTATGTTCAGAAAGTCCCTTGACTGTGTAAAGGGACATAGGAGCCACCATTCACTGTGTTTCCCACACGCTTGTGCCCCTAGACACAGCTGGGCTCACTGGTGCAGTGTGGGCTCAGTACCTTGCTCAACCTGGGTTTGAACCCCCAGCCGCTGCGCGGGCCTGGAGGCCCACTGGATCGCTGCTCCCAGAAGGGGAGCAGAGTGCGGAAACAGATCCAACTCCTCTGGGACCAGCCGGCCCCGACTCCGGGTCCCTGTAGGGCTGAAACAGACGGCCCCTGTGCCGCCGAGACGCCAGGGCCCTGCTGGGGGCCAGTCTGCAGCCTGACCTGGCGCACTGCGTGCAGGGCCTGAAGTAGACGTTCAGGACAGAGGCCAACGCTCTGGACAAGCCGGAGCTGGGAAATCCCCTGAGGGAGGTACGGGACGATCCCTCCTGGCTTTGTCAGGGTGAGGGATGAGGAGCGCTCTCTTTTAAAGGACCGGGACCCGTGTGTGGGAAATGTCCATGTGGACCTATGACTGCACGAAGGTCTGGACGTGTTCCTGAACTCTGAGGGCACATAAATGTCTCGGTGTGGACAGTGTGGTTTTTACCAGGGATTGTTTACAAGGCTGATCAACGACTGTTGCCAAAGAATCTAACAATTAAACATTTACCACAGAAACCACGGTTGAAGTCTGTGATCATTTACAACAGCGTATGATTAGAGAGCCTGACTGTTCCTCAGGCTGGGTCAGGGGCTGTGATCACACCCTGGGCTGCAGCTCTGTTAGGTTCCCACCCTCAGCAGGACTGGGAGCTGTTCTGATTCTGGGATCAGATTGATTATCTCTGGGAGGAATGTTTATCTCTGAATAACTGCATGTTTGTTATCTCTGTTTCTACGCTGGTGATCCTGGCAGGGAGAGAGCAGGAGGGACTGACCTTTAGTCTGAGATGAAGAGGATAGTTTGCAAAACTGTCAGCTGTTTCTTTGAGCGAGTGCGTGTGTGTGATGTGTGTGACTGCGATCATGTGTGGGTGTGAGTGTGTGCGATTGTGCATCACTGAGTGAGTGTGCGATTGAGTGAGTGTGTGTCACTGTGAGCAAGCATGCGTGTCCGATTGTGCATCACTGTGAGGGAATGCGCGTGTGCAATTGTGTGACTGTCGGCAAGCGTCTGAGTGTGTACAGATCTCGTGTGATTGTAAAGTAGTGGAATTGTGTTAAAGTCACAGTAAAATGCATTAAAGTGCACTGAAATCCAAGTAAAAGTACAGCATTGCTTAGTAAAGCACAGTGAAGTTAAGTGCTGTTAGTCCCAGTGCAATTGGAGCAAGTGTAGTAAATTACAGTGTGGCGGTGAAAGTGCAGTAAAAACAGGGTAAGATTGAAGAAAGTGTAGTAAATTACAGTGTGGCGGTGACAGTGCAGTAAAAGCCGGGTAAGATTGAAGAAAGTGTAGTAAATTACAGTGTGGCGGTGCGGCGATCTGGCGGGAGGTCGATTGTGAAACTGCGGTCGGGATCGTTATCAGCGCTGTCTCGCTGTCAGCCAGGAGAAACATTGACCCGGACAAAGTGCAGGAGCCAGCGGGGAGACACCGGGAGACACCGGGAGCCAGCGGCGGCAGCGGCCGAACCGAGCGCGCAGGTAACCGGGGCGCAGGCACCGCCGACACCGTGAGCGCGTTCCGACCCACGGCAGGAAGCACGCAGAGCGGCTCCGAGTCCACTCGCTCGGAAAGGGAAATGAAATCGCCTCCGGCGCCAAACGAAGGCTCGTCAGAAGCCTGGCAGGTTTTTTTTTTCTGTGCAGAGCACTAGCTGGGTTGTAACATTTGCCTCATAGCAGCTCATCCATCCCGTCGCGCTGGAGGACTCCGCATCACGGCGTTGGCTGACCGTCTCCGGGGCGCATCGTACTTCCAAACGTGAAAATAACCGCTTGAACTGAGGGCTCGTTCAGCTGCAAAGCCCGTACAGCAGGGGGGGGTGATGCGAGTTCGCTTGACTGGACACCGGACATCGGGGGTGCCGCTCTTCACACCACGTGACAGGCGGAGGTCCTGCCCACGTGGTCAGTGAAGACCCCAGGACAGTGGAAGAGCAGGGGTCTTCACTTCAGTGTGCAGGCTGAGCCCCCAGACTGGACTTTAACTCAGCGGGTGCAGCGGTGTCTCCCTCTTCCCCCTGACCTGTGCCTGGGCTGTGTTGCCCAGGAGGGGGCAGCACTGGAGCTGGGCGGGGGGGATGGTGGTGAAGGGGGTCCTCCCCCTGTATGGGAAGCACTTTGGGATCCTCCTGGATGTTTGATACATGAATTATCATTACTTTGTGTGTCCACAGGCTGTGGTCATGGAGCAGGAAAAGACAACATGGAAAGAGTTCATAGAGAACATCAGTGTCCTGCAGTGGGTACTGACCTTCCTTATCATGGGTGAGATCTGCTGGCACACTTGACACAGCTTGTATTAACCCCTCTCTCTCAGTGCAGTGTTAATGTACTGTAGTGT